GGTCAACAGTGGGAGGGCTTCTAGTGTCCTGGCCCCACTGGTGGACCCCCTGATGGCACCTGGTGTTTTTGGCCACTGTGTGACACAGAGTGTTGGACTGGAGGGGCCACTGGCCTGATCCAACACTGACTTCTCTCTTCTGTTCTTATGGGAAACCCACAGAGTCCCCCTGTCCACAGGCCGCCTTGTGACTTTTTGTTTCTCTTGCAGCGTTTTTCACAGAGACCCCCCATGACATGACTGCCCGGGCCGGCGAGGACGTGGAGATGGCGTGTTCCTTCCGGGGCAGCGGCTCCCCTTCCTATTCACTCGAGATCCAGTGGTGGTATGTGCGCACTCACAGAGACTGGACAGACAAGCAGAACTGGGCTTCGGATCAGGTACCAACTCCCCCCCCCCCCATATCCACCCGCCTTTCTTTCCCTCATCTCCCTATTTTACAAGAAGCTTGACTCATCCCAGGGGCAGATGCTGTGAGCAGATCCCATGTCGGAAGGAGGTTTTTCAGTGAAAGAATCATGTGGGGTCCCACCTGGCGCCTCTTCCTGCCCCAACCAAGGCTCCCTCTAAGCTACGGAGTCTTGTGAGCAAAAATTCCACTTTGTGAGCTACTGGCATTAAAGTGGTGAGCGGGGTCCTTGATGAGGGGGAGGGGGTAAGCATTCGTAGTGGAGACCACATTCAAGCCTCCATAGTCGGTGCACAGTTTCAAAACACCCCCCCCCCCGTCCTTTTTTGACAGAGTTTGACATCAATACCTGGGAAAATTCTAGAGCAGATTATTAAACGCTCTGTCTGTGAGCACCTTGAATGGAATGAGTTAATAGGGAGTAGCCAACATGGGTTTATCAAGAATAAGTCATGCCAGACCAATCTTATCTCCTTTCTTGACAGAGTTACCAAAATGGTTGACTCCGGCAATGCTGTGGATGTAGTGTATCTAGATTTCAGTAAAGCATTCGAGAAAGTTTCTCATGATATCCTTGAGGATAAGCTGGTTAAGTGTGGGCTGGATGGTGCAACCGTTGGATGGATTCATGGTTGGTTGAAAAATCGTACCCAACGAGTGCTCGTAAATGGCTCTACGTCTACGTGAAGGGAAGTCTCGAATGGAGTGCCACAGGGCTCGGTCCTAGGTCCGGTGTTGTTCAATGTTTTTATAAATGACCTGGAGGAAGACATAGAGGGGATGCTTGTCAAATTTGCAGATGACACGAAGCTGGGTGGGATTGCTAATTCTGAAGAAGATAGAGTCAGGATCCAAAATGATCTAGATAGGCTGGAACAGTAGGCTGAGACAAATAAAATTAATTTCAATAGAGATAAGTGCAAAGTCGTACACTTAGGTAGAAAAAATCAAAGGCACAGATATAGAATGGGAGGGACTTGGCTTGACGGCAGCACATGTGAAAGGGATCTGGGTGTTCTGGTTGATCACAAGCTAAACATGAGCCTGCAGTGCGATGTGGCTGCGAAGAAAGCTAATGCGATCTTAGGATGCATTAACAGAAGCCTTGTGTCCAGATCACGGGAGGTGGTAGTTCCGCTCTATTCTGCTATGGTCAGGCCTCACCTGGAGTCCTGTGTCCAGTTTTGGGCACCACATTTGAGGAAGGATGTTGACAAGCTCGAGCGTGTCCAGAAGAGGGCAACTAGGATGGTGAGAGGGTTGGAATCCAAGTCTTAGGAGGAAAGGCTGAAAGAGGTGGGTCTGTTTAGCCTGGGAAAGAGAAGGCTTAGAGGGGACAGGATTGCAGTCTTCAAGTATCTGAAGGGCTGTCACGTAGAAGATGGAGCGGATCTATTCTCTCTTGCTCCGGATGGCAAGACTAGATGTAATGGGTGGAAATGACAAGGGAGTCGATACCGGCTAAATATCAGGAGGAACTTCCTAACTGTCAGAGTGGTTGAGCAGTGGAACAGTCTGCCTCAGGAGGTGGTGGATGCTCCTTCGCTGGACATTTTCAAGCGGAGGCTGGAGGACCCTCTTTCGGGTATGTTGTAGAGCTATCTTTCGGCTCTGCTCCTGCAGAGTGCAGGGGGCTGGACTAGATGACCTGCAAGGTCCCTTCCAACTCTGACATTCTATGATTCTATGATTCTTCCTGAAGAAGACGGGGTCCGCAAACGGGGATGACGCAGGGTGAATGAAACCCCGAGCCAAATTCTTGTCAATAAACTTTCGCAACTCCTCTTTCTCCCTGGGGCTCATCGCATACAGTTTCCCTTTAGGCAACTTGTGCCCGGGGATCAGTTCTGTAGCACAATCCGTGTGCTGGTGGCCTGGCAATTCACCAGCTTCTTCCTCCTCAAAAACCCTAGCCAAGTCCCAATACTCTGGGGGAAATGGTGTCGAACTCCTCCCTGGCTAGGCACGCTCGTACCCGGTTCATCTAAAGGAGGGGGCCCCCACCCTGCAGACCACTCGTGGGCCTGACACTTGGGAGAGATGAATTGGACCTTGCCCTCGTCCCACAGGATGTACAGGTCGTGGTCGTGTAGCCACGGGCTGCCCAACGCCAGGGGGGATTGCACTGCTTGGGTGATGACAAACGGTTGGTGTTCCCAATGGCCTCCCGCCCCAAACCGTAAAGGCACAGTCTCGTACATGCAAGGTTCTTTCATAGATGACCCATCCATCTGGGTAAGAACAATGGGATCCTGGAGCTTCACTACCTTGGCTCCCAGCCCCATAACCAGGGAAGGGTTGATTAAGTCCCCTCCACCCCCAGAGTCTATCAAACCCCATACCGGGACATGAGTCCCGATTTAAGGATTCATTATAGTCACTGTAGTGTATTCAAAGCTGCCTTGAATGCATGATGTATGTGAAACATCTCATTGACTTGTAATGTTAAGCTTCATCCTGGGCTAGGATCCAAAGACATCCAATGGTATCGCTAGCCCAGGAAGTAACAAGCCAATCACTTCGCAGCAAACTTCCTGAGCGGGAACGGCCATGATTGGTCCTTATGTGAACAACCTTATTGGTTGGTATGTGCACAGTGGGCGCGGCTACATTAGCCGGGAATGTTTAAAAGCAGGGCAACTGCAATGTAAAAGCTGGACTGTGATGTTCTGGCTATCAGATGTTGATCCGTGTTGGAGTTGTGTTCGAGTGGAAGAATAAAGTTGTGTTCTTTGCTGAATCACTCTTCGACTGCTTTGTTAAGTGAGCGACTTAACAGTCACAGTCAGAAAGAAGAGGGGAGGGATAATTGCTCACTGTCTTAGGGGCCTCGGGAGTAGGGACCTGCTGCTCTGCGCCGCTCAGAGCAGGTCCTGCCCTTTTCCCGCCGGCTCGTCTTCTTCATTGCTACTCATGAGTAGCTCCTCCGCAGGAACTTCAGCTTAGAGCACCCATTGGCACTTCGGCTGGGCCACACTCTTCCGTGCTGGGGTGTCCACCCGCTTCTTCTCTGACTCCTTCCTGGGTACCGTCAGGGCTTCCCCTCCCGGGCAGCGGCAAAGTGACCCGCTTTGCCACATCTCAGGCACAAACTTTGCTTCGTGCGCTGGTCCCGCAAGCCCTCTTTGGATTTAAGGGGTCTTGGTTTGACCGTTGGTGGTCTGACCTTTCCCAGGGTGGCTGCGTTGTCTATGCGGATGGTCCTCGGGCGGTTCTCCATGTCGGCTGCTTCCCGCATCCAGGCGTGGAGGGACACCAGTTGAACACTACGCAGGACTGTCTCGTGAATCTCGGGGTGCAGACCTAGCCGGGACTGCTCTGCCATCACGCCATCCGGCCAGCCCTGGATCTCCGCGGCTTGCTTTCTGAACGCCTCAGTGTATTCACGCACCGTCTTCTTACCTTGCTTAAAGGTGCACAAGTAGGCACGTGCGTGTTCACTAGCATTCGGGTCCTCATACTGCGCCCAGAGAGCCCACATGAATTCATCCACTCGCTCGAGTTCGGGACCCTCCGAATTATGAAGGCTCACGTACCAGTCTGCTGCCTCATCACAAATACGCGAGGCGATGTAGTCCACGCGCCTCTCTTCGGTGGGAAACAGATGGCCCCAGTTGGTGATAAACTTCTCCGCTCGCACCACGAAGAACGCCAGCTTCTCAGGCATCCCATCGAACGTGGCATCCAATAGCTCAGTCGGCTTATGTACCTCCGGCCCATCTCGGGGTCGAGGCTCCGGCGCTTGGTCTCAAGGGGGAAGGGGGACTGGCAGAGCTGGTTGCCGCCCCGGAATCCCCGGTACTGCCAGCACTCCTGGGGTGGGTTGTTCCGGTTGCTGCCGTTTCTGGAGACGGATTTCATGCTGCACCACCTTGGCTACAATCTGTGGGATGCTCAGAAGCGAGTCTTCCACTCGTTTCATCATGTCTCCATAGGACCTTTCCAGTAATTCCAACCGAAGGCCCATGAAATCCTTGTCTTCGCCCGGCCCGCAACGCACTGGCTCTCTTTCCTCTTGGAGCCACAGCCCTCAAGGCTGTTCATAGTGGCTCCCTCAGCACAGCCCTGGAGTAAGCATCCACGTCTCCTGGGTGTCTGCCTTGATCTTGCCCCATCGCGGGCCACGGAGGGTCGTAGTCACACGCAGCCTCGTTCCCCCCACTGGCCCGAGTGGGAAGACATCCGACTCATCACCCAGGTCCTGGGGTAGGGTCCTTGTGTTGGGTATTACAAGTTGAAAACACTCAGTATATCTGGGGTTAAATGTTTGTTTATGTTACTCACAGGAAGTCACATGTTTACAGGTCCTGGGGTAGGGAGCTCAAGTTGGGTATTACAAGTTGAAAACACTCAGTATATCTGGGGTTAAATGTTTGTTTATGTTACTCACAGGAAGTCACATGTTTCTCATGTAACCAATGTTCTTTAGCTGTAGGAAGCCCGGGAATTTTCACCCTGATCTAGGAATTTGATTGGGACTAAAGTGTCAAGGTGTATTAGATTTTATGGCTTCTCTTCCCATCTTTGTTTGGTGTTCTGAAGAAGAAGAGTAGCCATAATCTCTCTCTTCTAGTTTTGTCTTTGTAGAGTAAGGATGTAGCCGATTTTGCTCTGTTGTTATTTTCATCCCAGTTACCCTTCCCATGCTAGAATTTAGTAAAAACTTTATATTTTAATCACACATGGACTCTGAATCTGAATTATTTTATTCCGGGACTGCTGGACTATCTTATCTCTGCTAAATACCATTTTTTCAATATCTCACTATCACCCAACAGCTCGGCACCATTGGGGGGAGGGGCTGTGGTCGTCGGCACAGTCCCTTCGGTTGTCACCGGGAGCGGTTCTTCCTTGCCATCGCTCATCTCGGTTAAGAAAGATACGGTTCGAGGGAAAGATGGTTCCTGACAATCTGTCAGGTTCGATAGTCAGATCACACCACACAGCACTTCATAAGAAGTATTCTGTTTA